CAACTTTAGTTCCGTTAATGTTTGTCACCCTCCGTCACAGAATTTTAGACAGAAGGTAACATACGTTAACATAACTAAAGTTGAGGGTTTATTTCACTAAATCTTTAGTTGAGGGGTTTTGTTAAGATTCATCTTTAGTTGAGGGGTTTTATTACTAAATGCGGTTAAATATTTGAAAATCTCTATTATCATTTATTTAATATGTAAGAATTTTACAATTGATTTATAAACATTGAAAATCATTTATAATCTTTTATATATATTACTTTATCAAATTTTTAACCTATTTATAAAGCTTAGTAAATATTTTAATTTTTTATAAACTATTAATAAGGTTTAATGATGATTTTATAAGCTTTTGTCTGCTATTTCTTAGGATAAAATAATACATGATTTTTCTTGATATTACGAAGTAAATCGATAAAGCTTTATAAAAGAGGAAACACATACAATTTTCTTATATTAATACTTTCAAATATCAAATAATTAAGATTTCTAAGTTATATAAAGTTGTAGGTAGTGTTGAGGATATTTAATTAGTTTAGAAATTCAACCTTGTTACTTAAAATATGGCAAGGGTTTTTTTCTCCTCTTTAAACAATTTCAATTTGATTCGTACTTTTTCTGTTTTAGAAGAAATAATGTAGGATTATTTTTCTTTTTTATTTTAATTTCTGAACCAATATGTTATACTCATACCTTATTAATCAATAAGCTTTTCTTGTTTTATTTATTTACTTCATGTTTTTGTAGTATGACGAATAATCACTTCTTTAATCTTATAAAATCATCATTAAACTTTAATAATAATTTATAAAAAGTATTAAATGAGAAAACTTTATAAATAGGTTATAAAATTGATAAATGAATATATAAAAAAATATAAATTATTTTCAAAGTTTATAAATCAATTTTAAGATTCTTAAATAATGAATAAATGATAATAAAGATTTTAAAATATTTAACCACATTTAGTAATAAAACCCCTCAACTAAATATGAATCGTAACAAAAACCCTCAACTAAAGATTTAGTGAAATAAACCCTCAACTTTAGTTCTGTTAACATATGTTACNTTTTAAAATATTTAACCACATTTAGTAATAAAACCCCTCAACTAAATATGAATCGTAACAAAAACCCTCAACTAAAGATTTAGTGAAATAAACCCTCAACTTTAGTTCTGTTAACATATGTTACCCTCCGTCTAAAATTCTGTGACGGAGGGTGACAAACATTAACAGAACTAAAGTTGAGGGTTTATTTCACTAAATCTTTAATTGAGGGTTTTTTTTACGATCCATCTTTAGTTGAGGGGTTTTATTACTAAAAACCCCGTATAAAACTATCCATTTTATATTTTGAAGCTAGGAAATATGTTGGAATATACTGAAATTTTACTTAACTCGCTAGCTTTTGAGAGAATAACTTTATTTATTTACAGTTTTTGTATATAGTGATTATTTATTTTAAATGTGTTTCTTATTTCTTAGTCTATAAATTTTAAAATATATTATATTAAATTTTGGATTTTAATTAAAATAAAAAGAAGTTTGTGTTAAGGAATTTAAACAAAATTTCATTATTTAACCATCAATAATTTTTTTTTAATATATTTTGATGGTAGGAAACATGTGAGATACGTATGCTGAAACTTTACTTAATTCTCTATCTTTTGTCAGAATAATTTATTTTATTTCTAGTTTTTCATATATAGTGATTACTTATTTTAAATAAGTTTCTTATTTCTTAGTATATATATTTAAAAATATATGATATTAAATTTTGGATTTGTAATTAAAATAAAAATTAGTGTGTAATTACATTAAGGAACCAATAAATTTAACCAAACTTATTATTTAACCATCAATAACTTTTAGTTAGTAAGTATTGTTTTAGTTTTATATTTTTTAAGAAACACTTATAATTAATTTTCATGATAAATATATAATTTAACCAAACTTATTATTTAACCATCAATAACTTTTATTTAGTAAGTATTGTTTTAGTTTTATATTTTTTAAGAAACACTTATAATTAATTTTCATGATAAATATATATATATATATATATATATATATATTTTAATAATTATTTGGAACTTATTAGTCATTGCCATATTTTGAAAAGCTTACCAAAAAATAAATAAGGGAAATTTACTTTAATGGTAATATGAGTTATTAACCATTACCTTATTTCAAAAATATTGTAAAAATAATGAATATTTATTATAGAAATTTTACATTTCACAATTACAAAGATGCCATGTCATATTTTTAAATTAGCCATGTCATTTTTTTTCTTGAGAATGAATGTGATTAAGACACCTAAGCTAATCATTTCACAAATAATGTTAAAGAGATTTAGTGACAAAACTATAAAAGATCAATATTTAACTAAAAAAACAATTAGTACTCTCTAGTGTATTTACTAGAAGCTGAAATAATTTGGAAGACCATAACAGAAATAGAGGTACAAGAAACAGGAGAGGAGACCATAATCCTTTGACCTCACTCGGCCCCTCAAACTCCAGCCTACCAGATTGATGCTTTTTGGACTAATCATACATTTGTGAGTAGACTCAGTGGTGTTTGGGGGACAACACTGGACAAGGTTACTGAATGATTCTATACTTCTATCAACTCTTCATTCAAAATAGGACGAACTCAGGAGATAAAAAGCTTATAAGCTATGATTCTTGTCTTGGGATGAAAATTCGTAAGAATAAAAGATCTAGGAAGTCGTTGTTATCTCAAAATAGTTACATAAAGAAGGTTGAAGAACATTTTGACATGTCAAAAGCAAAATCGGGGAGATGGAATTCAGAAGATTTAGTACGAACATCAGCTCGCACCTGAGATTGGCCGTTTAGATTACCTCGTATCACCGTCCCAAAACTCCATGATTCAAAGCAGAGATGGAAGAACATCACGAACCCTAGAAATAAACGTTACATTTATTGAAGATGATGACTGTGACTCGCGCTTGGATAATGAAATTCATCAGTCCACTTAACAAACAATAAAAGCCTAAACTTATTCGGAGGAAACTCATGGTAGATTACCTATTTTCTGACGTGGCAAGATGAAAAAGAAGTAAACCCTATTTTATAAATAGATAGATAAATTATGGTTTTGTTGAAAATACCAAACCAAAAGATTAATGGCATTGAAACACGTACAGAAGTGGGAAGTAAAAAATTGAATTTTGGATAGATGTAGTATAATTAAAAAGTTATGGTGTCTCTCTATAATATTATTTGAGAAGTCAGTTTCCTATGTATCGCTCTCACGTTCACTTTCAGGATGGTTGATTACACTGACATCTTTAATGAATTAAAAATAGGTTAAAACAATATTATTAATTCTTTTATTTAGTTTCCTTTTCAAAAATTTCCAAAATATATGTAATAAAAAGTAATTTTTTTAGAAAGTGATAAAAAACAAATTGAAAACGAAAAATATATGTAGATATAATATGATTTCATAAAAAGGAAAGTTCACAAAATAGTAATAATACATTTAAAACTATTTTTAAATAACATAAAATATACTTTTAGAGTAATAAAAATAGTTTCTAATTAGTATTATTGAATTTTGTTTTATTTTTTCATATATTTAGTTGACTATAATATCTTTCAATTACAGAAAATTATCTATCAATTATATTTTACTTATATAATGTTATTTTCAAATACAATATCGCTTGATAAAATAATTAACAATTAGTTTAATGAGTTAGATATATGACGGTTAAATTTTATGTTTTTATGTTTGTGAAACTAAATATAACCATAATTAAAATACCAAAGCAAATTTGAATTCCCAATTTTAAAATTATTTAAAATAAATTTCAGTTTACATTCAATAAATCTAAAGCATAAAATTATTTAGAATTTATAAATATTTTAATTATTGTAAATATTGATATATGTTCATGAGCTTCCAAAAATGTATCAACTACTTATGCATGTAACGTTCTATTGATCATAGGATAACTCAAAATATATTAATAAATGAAAAATAAATATTAACCAACTCTTACAATTTTAGTTCTTTTGTAAAATTTATATATATGCATGAGAGTTTTGAATATTATCGTTATATTAATTTACGTATTTAGGAATGAGACACTTTAGTTAATTTTTAATTCATTCTAAGCACAATATATCTTAAGTTATACATAATTTTCCTAAAATATATTTACATATCTAAGACAGCATCCACTATATATGAAAATAAGTTATTAATTAAAAGTTAATATATTTTTAAAATATTACAGTTGAATTCAGAGATGTAATTCATTTTATCCAAATAATAATTAAATCAACTGTAAAAACAACAAAATCGACTAGATATAACATATATAAAATTATAGTATAATTAAAGTAATATAATATTATTAATATAAATGATCCATAAAATTATAAATTAATTTAAAATTAAAACTATATAGTAATCTATTATTATCATATATTTATTTTCAAAATATTTACATCCGTTCATGCACGGAAAAATCACCTAGTTTGAAAAGAAAAACAAAACACTATCCCAAGAAACAATAGGCAAATTAAAAGCTGAATTTGTAAAGTCGTTTATGTTTGTTTTGTACATACACTTATACATATGGTGTGACATTTTTATTTGAAAGAGAAAATTACAATTACAAAACACGAAAACACCATTCTCACGAAAACACATGTTATATTTTTTAACTTTGTTATCATCTTTTCAGTTTTAAAATTAGATGTTCGATTATTTGAGATTTGTGTGTTGGTAATATTAGTTTAAACTAATTTAGCGGGTTTAAAAATTAAAAACCCAAACCAAAAACTGAAAATGAAATGTAGAAATTTAAAAACTAAAAACCAAAATCTAAAATAAAAATTGAAACTTAAAACTAATGAAAAGCAATCATCACCACAAATTTTGGTGAACTTATTTTATATCAAAGTATTATTTAAATTAAAACAAAACTCAATTATATAAAATTTTAAACATAAAAAATTTCCGCGCTTTCAAGCGCGGATCAAAATCTAGTAAATAGATTATGGTTTTGTTGAAAATACCAAACCGAAAACACGTACAGAAGTGGGAAGTAAAAAGTTGAATTTTGGATAGATATGGTATATAATTAAAAAGTTATGGTGTATTCAAAAAGAAAAACAAAACATTATCCCAAGAAACAATAGGCAAATTAAAAGCTGAATTTGTAAAGTCGTTTATGTTTGTTTTGTACATACACTTATACATATGGTGTGAAATTACAATTACAAAACACGAAAACACCATTCTCAAGCCTGTAATATATAGGAGAAGCCGTTGACAGTGAGACCTCCATCAACACAAATAGTTTGACCTGTTATATACGAAGCTGCTGGTAGACACAAGAAAACCACTAGTGATGCAACTTCCTCCGGTTCTCCCGCACGACCAAGTGGAGTTCTACTGAACAAGCTCTCCTTCAAACCGGGGTCATCAAGATACTGAACCGATTAAAAAACAAAACCCAAGTGATGACTAGAAGTAGCTTTAGAAGTTGTTAATTCAAATTTTTTTTTAAAAAAGGTGTTTTCTTTTGATTACAGGTTGAGATAGAGCAGTATTGATAAAATTAGGAGCAACGGCGTTGGCCCTTATCCCATCTCTTGCCCATTCACATGCCAAGTTTCTAGCCAATTGATTCAAAGCTCCTGATGCACAAACATATATACTTAAATGGTTGGTACTATGGTTAGAGCTGTATATAAAGTATATGTACCTTTGGTTGCACTATAGATGGATATAGAGGGTGCTGAAACAACCCCTGCAGCAGAGGAAATGAAGACAATGCTTCCAGATCCTGAAGCTTTTAGGAGAGGATGTGAAAGCTGGCTAAGATGATAACCAGACTCCAAGTTTGTTGATATATGAAACGAGAAATCTTCAGCTGTATATTCTATTGCTGGCTTGTAGCGGACTCCCCCTACATTGTTTACCTAAATGTTCAACAAGTTGAGTCAGCTTAACTCGATTGGTTTATTGAAGATCAAGTTACTTACTAGAATGTTGAGCTTGCCACCAAACAACGAGGAGACAGTTTGCATAAGTGTTTCTCTCTCTGGACGAGAGGATACATCACATAGTGAACCACTCACTTGAAACCCTTTCTTTTTCCATTCGCTTAAACTTTGATTGAGCAAAGATTCAGATATGTCACATACATGGATTCTAGCTCCAAAACTAGCTAACTCCTCTACTATGGCAAACCTGAACATTTTACAAACACAAATTCATAATGAAGATGATATAGATCGAACGGAGAAGATAGACGAACCCGATTCCACTGGCTCCACCGGTCACAAGAGCAGTCATACCTTGAAGACTCCATCTGTTGTTATCCATCATTGTCTTATTGACTTCTCAATCAAAAAGAGACTATTTTGGATTACTTAGCTACAGCTCTATTTAGGTAGAGGAGATAACATCCATAAGGAACAAATACAAAAAAAGGTGATGAATAATATTATGCAGCTCCTCATAGTGACATCTGCAGAGATTGACTGACACGAAAGCAAAGGAGGGACCTACCTTTTGACACCAATACTAATTCTGGCACCACTATCCAACTAGAATTAATGTCTATTCTCCAGATTTTGCGAAAACATTTGTTCATTGTATGATTCATTTCACCTCCACATTCATTAATGTTTATTCTCTAAAACCGGGGTTGTAACAGCAACCTCTAGACCCATCTATAGTCAACAAACCAGTGAAAACTTAAGAAAGAAACACATAAAAGCTTTTGGCTATCATGAAAATCATAACACTTCAGTTCTCATGAAACAGAGAACGCTGTTAAACTCTCATATGACGATTTGTCATTAACTGGCCAAAAAGAAATACTAAAAAGCATAAGGATCACAAAGGAAACTAATAAGAGTTGACTAATCATGTCGTGGAGAGAAACCGTTAATAGACATTCCTCCATCAACACATAGAATCTGCCCAGTGATATAAGATGATGCAGGTAGGCATAAAAACGCCACAGCAGAAGACACTTCCTTCGGTTCTCCAAGCCGACCAAGAGGAGTTACAGAGTAAACTTCTTCTAAGTACTCTTTGTTGCTAAGAACCTGAGAACCAAAAGACATTCACCATTAAAACGAGCCAATCTTTTTTGAACAAAGATGCAAAAACAAGATAGCTTACTTGCTCAACCATAGATGTTTTGATATACCAAGGAGCAACAGCATTAACCCTTATATTGTCCTTAGCCCACTCGCAAGCTAAGTTTCTAGTAAGTTGATTGATTGCTCCTAAAAAACACAAATCCTTATCGGTTGATTGCTCCTTGAAAGATTAGTATGTGAACAAATGTAAATAAATATACCTTTGGTTGCAGATTGGACAGACATATTCTTGAGAGAGACAAAACCAGAAACAGAGGATACAGACACAACACATCCATCCTCAGATGCTCTAAGCATCGGGTAAGCAAGCTGGCATAAATGAAAAACCGATTCGAAATTCGTGGAAACAAGACTCGAAAACTCTTCAGAAGTAAAATCCACCATTGGTTTTCTTATGTTAGTCCCAACATTGTTTACCTTAAATTCAGAATTTAACCCAAAAAAAAAAGAAAAAATAAGAATTGTTCTAAGAGACATAACAACGAACAGTTATGTGCACTATCTCCGAACCATGATATTAAGCTTCCCGTTGAAGAGAGAAGACACAGTCTCCATCAAGCTCTCTCGCTGAGCTCGATCAGAGACATCGGAGACCGAACCAGAGACTCGGAAACCCGAATGGTTCAAGTCTCTTAAACATTTCTCGAGCTCTGTTGAGTTTCGAGAGCAAGTGTGAACCTTTGCTCCAAGACCGACCAGTTCTTCAACAACCGCACGTCTGTACTAACAGTTTAACAGACAGAGAGTTTGAGGATTTGTTTTTTTTTGTTATTAGGATTTACAAAAGTGGAAGTTGGATAGAAAGAGAGAGAGAGAGAGACAAAACCCGATGCCTCGAGTGCCGCCGGTGACAAGAGCAGACATTCCTTGGAGAGACCATCTGTTCGGTGACGTGGCAATGGATGCGCAACGGACCATGACGTGAGGTTTACCGGAAGAAAGGAAGTGAAGGTTTTGAAGTGGATTTGTGTTCAAGCGAGAAGCCATGTCCAGTGCCATTGGTACTACTGTGATTTTAGTCAGTATTAGAAAAAACAAATATCACTTCAAAGTTCAAAGATATATTTTCTTATGGCACATTTGCTTCTAACAATGGAGAAAATCCAAGCAATGGTTTAAGATATGTTAATTGCATTTTCTGACGTAATTACTTATCATGAAGCTAATTAATAACTGATATTATTAAATCTCACAGCTATGTGCTTCTTCCTAGTATGATACACAATGTAAATGAACAACACAACATTTATCAACTCCCGACCCTGCGCAAGTCTCTAAACATAAATTGGTTTGCCTCTCACATTCAAATTTGGTAGTAGACATTGCAACGATACTACAAATCTCTAACATGTAACTTTGTAAAAAAGCACCATGTACATGTAGTAGCTCTCATGTTGTCTTGGTCTCTCATGCGTAATCTAAATCAATAAACCTACTACTGAGAGCTTCTTCAAGGATATGACATATGTATTTACTTACTTTACTAAATGCTTCTGCTAGATTATGTATACTACACACCATATCATACATCAACCATATAATTTCACTTCCATTAAGTACTTTTGCCTTGTCTTTGATTTTTTTTTGTATCAGACCAGACTTAGGACACTGGTGTGTGGAAATTACGAGTACTTTGTCAAAGATGTGGAAACCGGTTTGCTTTTGACATGTCAAATTGTTCTAAAACCTATATGTAACTATTTTGAGATAACAACTTCTAAGATCTTTTGTTTCTACGAATTTTCATCCCAGGAATATTCTTTGTAGCACCATTTTTTTTTCATTTCAAACTCTTCTCTATGTAATTACTACTTTATTGCTTTTATGTCCATGGACTGTATTACTCATAGCTTATAAGCTTTTTATCTCTTGAATTGCAGCTATTCGTTTGGGTCAATGACTTCTAAGTTTGTTCTTCGTTTGGCTATTTTCCTAAATTAATGAACTTTGAGATTGTTTTTTTCTTTCTTTTTAATCTTGGAGATACATGAAGAGCCTTACGCTAATTTCTAAAAGGATGGTGTGATTCACGTAGGAATTTCCACTCTGAATATTTAAATGAGTCGTAAGATAAATTCATATCCGTATGGTTACAAGACAAAATATAATAGAGTGTCTCTAAATCCGGGTTGCTTAATAATCCTAAGGCTTGTTTACCATTTATACAACCACCTTGTGGTTAATTTTGAGATTTGTACGATTAGATTGTGAAAGTTAGATAGACTATATAAGAGAAAAGTTTATATGGAGTTAAATAGCCAAACCATTTCAATATATCACAAAAAAAAACTAGAATGAACTTAAAATCTTGCCACGAAATTGTAACAAGTCTTTTAAAGTACAAAAGTAACTCCGCTTTGATTCAAATATTTTCAAATAATCAAATCTGTTTTTAAATTAAAGTTTTATATTCCAATCTTAAAAAAATTTCTTTTGTGCACTAAAACTCGGAAATCTTTATCCAAATACATCACTGTTTCCTATTTTAATGTATAAGAAATTTGTCGCCTACCACCATATATTAGATCAAAATTTGGCATCTGGTTTAGAATTTCATAAAATTTATAGCACAATGTGACTTACATAAGAAAATAAGGTTCCTCATATTCTTGCTTTTTCGCCAGTGTATCATCACATACATTTGGGAAAATTAGCCCAGCTGTTGCCTCAAACGATCGGGTTCATCCGATTTTAAATGAAGAGTTGATAGAAATATAGAATCATTAAGTAACCTTGTACAGTATTGTCCCTCAAACACCACTGAGTCTACTCACAAATGTATGATTAGTCCAAAAAGCATCAACCTGGGAGGCTGGAGTTTGAGGGGCCGAGTGAGGTCAAACGATTATGGTCTCCTCTCCTGTTTCTTGTAACTCTATTTCTGTTTCAGTCTTCCAAATTATTTCAGCTTCTAGTAAATACATTAGAGAGTACTTATAGTTTTTCTTTTCAGTTAAAAAAATAATCGTTTATAGTTTTGTCATACATACTAAGTTATCTATAGAAAACAATCCCTTAAAAAAAAAAAAAATCCCTTTAAAAATTTGAGAATTTTTTTTCTTCAAAATACAAATCAAATTTCAAATCATCATTTAAAATGGAAATTTGATTTTTTTTTTATATCATTTTAAATGATGATTAGCTGAAGTTTTAGAATAGTTTACAAAAAGAAAGTCAAGAATTAAATAACTCCTATCAAAAATAAGAACACTTCCTAACTTCTTGAAACTTTTTCCTGAATCTAAACTTGGTGATATTCTTAGAAAGTTTCCTATTTCTTGATTTGCAAACCTTAAGTGCACTTTTAACATAAGAACAAAACAAAGATCTTCTCGAAACCGGGCTTAAACGAGGAACATAACACTTCAAAAAAGTTCGTAGTTATCTTCTCAACTGTCTTTTTTTCTTTTCCTTTTTTTTACTTTTAATAGATAATACCTTTAAGCAATCAATCGCTAGGTCAAACCAAACCTAATTACTAATTCGCAGTAAAAAAAAGTATATATATTTTCTCATTAAGATTTCTTTACTTAAATGGCATAAAAACCCTAAAGGTTCTTCCATCGCCGTCTCGTAAAAATTCCGTCAACCCTATAAAAACTCTCAATTTCTTCCATCTCTTTCATCCTTGTCGTTGTTAAGGTTTCTTTCACAAACTTCAAAACATGGATAATTAATCATTCTCCTGAGAATTGATAAAAGTTTTGATCTTTGGTGATCTTTGGCTTTGTTTGAGGTTTAAAGGTTTGATTTTTATTTGTTTTGTTCAAATAAAGTTTTGATCTTTACGGTTTGTATGACCAAAATATCGTAATTGATTTAATGGGTTTTGTCTTGTTTAGGTTTGGTAATGATTCCAGAACTAGGAAGAAGGTCGATGCTTAGAGGTAACGAAGATCCATCTTTTGGAGACGAATACGAGAAGGAGATTGGTGTGTTGCTAAGTGAGCAGCAGCGGCGGCAAGAGGAAGCTGATGAGCTTGAGAGAGAGCTTAACTTGTACAGAAGCGGCTCTGCGCCGCCTACTGTTGACGGCTCCTTCAGTGCTGCAGGAGGGCTTTTCAGAGGTGGGGCGGCGGCTCCTTTACTTGACTTTGGTGGTGGGAATGGGTTTGATGAGGAGTTCAGGAAGGATCCGGATTACTTGTCTTATTACTATGCTAATATGAAGTTGAATCCTAGGTTGCCTCCTCCTTTGATGTCTAGGGAGGATCTGAGGGTTGCTCAGAGGGTTAAAGGGAGTAGTGCTGTGTTGGGTGGGATTGGGGATAGGAGAAAGGGGGATGATGGGAGTAGATCTTTGTTCTCTATGCCTCCTGGTTTTGATCAGATGAAGCAGCAGCAGCATGAGTTTGAGCCTCAGAAGGCTTCTTCTTCTGAGTGGGATGCTAATGGTCTTATTGGTTTGGATCTTGGTGGCAAGCAGAAGAGTTTTGCTGATATCTTTCAGGTCAGGGTAACCTCTTTCTTATATGCTTAGATGATTGTGTTGATTCCCTTGTTGAGTGTTAATGATTGCTTATTGTGCAGGCTGACCATCCTGTTCCACAGCATCCCTCACGTCCTGCGAGTCGTAATGCCTTTGATGAGAAGGTCAGTCCTACGAATAACCAGTCTCCATCTGCATCACAAGGCGTTGGTGCCTCATCTCCTTTCAGCTATGCAGCTGTTTTGGGCTCTTCATTGTCCAGAAATGGAACTCCTGATCCTCAGGCCATTGGTAGGGTGCCTAGTCCCTGCCTTACTCCCATTGGTAGTGGAAGAGTGAGTTCAAATGAGAATAAGAGGAACACAAGTAATCAAAGCCCCTTCAACGGTGTCACATCTGGTCTCAGCGAGTCTTCAGATCTCGCCGCAGCTTTATCTGGCATGAACTTGACAGGCAGTGGTCAGGCTGAGCAGGATGTCGAAAAGGTCAGGAACTACATGTTTGGTGGACATCACGACGGGTTCCCAAATAAATCTGATCAAGCCGCGCATAAGGGAACTGATTCCTGGAGGAACTCGCAGTTGAGAGGGTCACAAGGATCTGCCTATAACGGTGGTGGACGTGGACTACCTGGTCCCTACCAGCCTCAGCATCTTGATACTCCGAACTATAGTCTAAACAACTATGCATTAAATCCAGCTATGATGGCGAGCCAACTTGGAAGTAACAACTTCTCTCCAATGTATGAAGATGTTTCCTCACCATCTGCTTTGGGATATTCTGGAATGGACTCCAGACTTCATGGGAGAGGTTTGGGTCAAAACCTCTCTGAGTCACATAATCTTGGCAGGATCAGTAACCGGATGATGGCAGGAAATGCTGGTCTTCTTCAGACACATATTCCCGACCCAATGTATCATCAGTACGCTGATTCGCTTGATCTTCTCAATGATCATCAGTATGGTAATTCATACATGAATATGCTGGAACTCCAGAGGGCTTACCTCGGAGCTCAGAAGTCACAGTATGGTCTCCCTTACAAATCCGTTAGCCCTAACAGCCGTAGCTATTATGGGAGTCCAACGTTTGGGTCTAATAATATGTCATTCCCTGGAAGCCCATTGGCTCATCACGCTATGCAAAGCTCTCTTATGGCTCCTTGCAGCCCCATGAGGCGAGGTGAAGTTAATATGCGGTATCCCTCTGGAGCAAGAAACTATCCAGGAGGGGTAATGGATTCTTGGCACATGGATGGTGGTTTGGATGGAGGCTTTGGTTCTTCATTGCTTGAAGAGTTTAAGAGTAACAAAACAAGAGGATTTGAACTTTCTGAAATAGCTACTCATGTTGTTGAGTTCAGGTATATCCTTGAAACCATTTGCCTTTATTATTCTTGTATGCCATTTGAGAGTTGCCCCAAGCTAATGCGTATTCTGATATGGCTGAACCAGTGCGGATCAATATGGGAGCCGGTTTATTCAGCAGAAACTAGAGACAGCAACAACTGATGAGAAGAACATGGTCTATGAGGAGATCATGCCACAAGCTCTTGCACTGATGACTGATGTTTTTGGAAACTATGTTATTCAAAAGGTATATTTATTCACTTTTGTTTTTTTAAGTTTTGGTTTATATACAAGAAAGATTTCTGAATAATATTCCTACAGTTCTTTGAGCATGGACTCCCAGCACAAAGGAGAGAATTGGCAGAGAAGCTCTTTGACAACGTTTTGGCTCTTAGCTTACAGATGTATGGTTGTCGTGTTATCCAGAAGGTAAAGTCTTGTTCTAACCTCTTCTACTTTGTCTCCATAACTCAGTCCTTTATTCTTAGTATATGTGAGAGAACTTGTTATCTTTTTAGGCAATAGAGGTGGTTGATTTAGACCAGAAGATTAAGATGGTGAAGGAACTTGATGGACATGTGATGCGATGCGTGCGTGATCAGAATGGGAACCATGTGGTTCAGAAGTGCATCGAATGTGTGCCTGAAGAAAACATCGGATTCATCATTTCAACTTTCTTTGGTCAAGTTGTGACACTCTCCACTCACCCATACGGGTGCCGCGTTATTCAGGTTCCTACTCTTAAGTGATGAAATACTGTTTTCTCGATCTTATGGTTCATTGTAAAACGGTTTCTCGCCTCCATTTGCAGAGGGTGTTGGAACACTGTCATGAACCGGATACACAGAGCAAGGTTATGGAAGAGATCCTGTCCACAGTTAGTATGTTAGCACAAGATCAGTATGGAAACTATGTTATTCAGGTTTGTAAAAAAGTAATGATGTGATTTCATATTTGTTTGTTCAAAACTGATAACACGTTTTTGGTGGACACAGCACGTACTGGAGCATGGAAAACCTGATGAGCGTACGGTGATAATCAAGGAGTTGGCAGGGAAGATTGTTCAGATGAGCCAGCAGAAGTTTGCGTCGAATGTTGTTGAGAAATGTTTGACTTTTGGAGGTCCAGAGGAACGAGAACTGCTCGTGAATGAGATGCTTGGCACTACTGATGAAAACGAGCCTCTTCAGGTCTGTTACGTTTAGATTGTTTTCAATGGAAATTAAATAAACTAACATGCTTCTCACACTCTTTGTATTATATATAGGCGATGATGAAGGATCAGTTTGCAAACTATGTAGTGCAAAAGGTCTTGGAGACATGTGATGACCAACGTCGTGAGCTGATTCTTACTCGTATTAAAGTGCACCTTAATGCGTTAAAGAAGTACACTTATGGAAAGCATATTGTCGCCCGTGTTGAGAAACTCGTTGCTGCTGGAGGTATTCTATTGTACATGATCCTTTGAGACAATTATCAAGTATTTTTCTAGGGTCCTTAAGTGGTGGTGCTGTGTTATGTGCAGAGAGGAGAATGGGTTTGCAGTCGCAAAACCAGCCTCAGATGGTGTAAGGCTGCAAGTGTTGTACAGCTTAATTAGGGTGTACGGGTCTGCCACTGCGTTTTGAGAATTTAGGTAAGATCTAAAACTGGAAATAATAAAATCTTTGCAGGGAAATTATGAAAGGGAGAGTTTGTAAAATCGTGTAGTTTCTGAATACATAGAACCAAGCATCCCTCTTTAGGCTGATGAGTGAGTGAGAATGGTGTAAAGATGGGTTGTGAAATGGAATGGTGAGAGGACTTTAGGGTTTCCTTCACACAAGGAGAATGACTTTTGTTATAATTTGCCAAAATGTGTAGAAGAGAGAATGTTGATGCTTTTAGGACAATCCCAGTGTTAGAGATTTTCTGCCCATCTTATGTAAATTTGTTTCATTACAACTCTTTATTTCGGTATTTTGCAAGGCACTCTTTTTCGTTTATGGCATTTTGCAGTCTTGTTTGTTTATATTTGTTGGTCCTTGGTTGCTTGTTGCGCAAGTAATATTGATAGAGAGCCGCTGAGCATTACAAATTTACAATATGTTGGATCTTGCATCTCCAACAAAGGTACAAAGTCAATGGCGTCACCTTCAACCTTCTTGTCTAGCGTTGGCTCTTGTTACTTTCTTCTTCCCACTTTTCTTAGACCTCTTTGCTGCTTTTCTTTCTCAAAAAACCTATAAATCATTAACTTATGGATCGGCTCAATCCATTTGTCAAATGGGTCGGATCTATCCATAATCCATTTAAGCTTAAAACCTTTTGTGTATGTGTTGGTTTACCTATTTTGAAACCCAATACACGTCTAAAATTCGGAGCAAGACATCTCTGATAAAGTGAGATGCAACAATTGGTGTCTTAATGGTTGTGCCAACTGCTAATGACAAAAGTGGTTATTGCAAGCCTCTTCCTCATGGACCACAATGCCGTCGTTGCTGTTGTTTAAGGAACCATTTTAATTCTTCGATCTATTTGCATTATATTGATCAACTGTATCCATTTTAATACTGTATTGGCAAAATTATGAGTTTTCTTCCTCCTGTTAAAAAAAAAAGAGTTCTTCCTCTCTCCTTTATGCGAGAATAGTATAATTTTGTAATAAAAGTGTAGATATTTGTTGTGTAGATATTTGTTTGTGTGATTAATTTAATGTTAACTAAATAAAATCTTTATATTGGTAAGAAAATAATAAAATCTATAATACTAATAATTTTTTTTATTAAATATAATTTTAGTTTAAAAAGTTTTTCACTGCGTATTGTGCAGGAAAACACATAGTTCTTATGTATCGTATGACATTCAAACGAAGAAATTTCGTTAGCAGCCTGAGAACAGCCATTTTTCTTTGGAAATCTAACATGAGACTGAACAAAAATAAGACAAAGATAAGTTATGCTTTCAAATCATTGGACTTGTACACAGATCCAGTAATATTCTTATGTATCGTATTACATTCACACGAAGAAATTTTGTTCGTAGACTGAGAAAACAGTACTATTTTTCTTTGGAAGTCTAACATGAGATTGAACAAAAATAAAACAAAAACATAAGTTACTCCTTTTTCCTAATCATAGGACTTGTAAACAGATCGAAGTAATGTAACAAGATAACCTATTATTAGCCTTAATGGAAGACGCGTCATCAGTTACGTCATCATCACATGGCCCATTAAACATTTAATACAAACTAATCAGTCTCAAATCGATCTCATCCACAGCGTCCTCACTGATTACTATAACTCTCTTTTGCTGGCATTTCTTGTCATTGCAAAAAAAAAAAAAAAAGATGGATAAAAGATGGAGTCTTCAAGGTATGACTGCTCTTGTAACCGGTGGAGCCGCAGGAATCGGGTTAGTCTTTCTTTTATCTTAATCATCTTTATAACCCACGGTGCTTCTTCTGTCTAACATATAAACTAGTGGTCAAGATTTCAAGGAACTTGAAACTCTGGAATGTTTAGGTTTGCCATAGTAGAAGAGTTAGCTAGCTTTGGAGCTAGAATCCATGTATGTGACATATCTGAGTCTTTGCTCAATCAAAGTCTAAGCGAATGGGAAAAGAAAGGGTTTCAAGTGAGTGGCTCAGTCTGTGATGTATCCTCTCGTCCCGAGAGAGAAACACTCATGCAAACTGTCTCCTCGCTGTTTGATGGCAAGCTCAACATTTTCGTGAGTAAATGGCATTAATATAGAAACAAATAAGCATAATTTTTAAAGAAAATTTTGAAAACATCCTCTTTGTTATTCAACAAAGGTGAACAATGTTGGTGTACTTCGCGGAAAGCCAACAACAGAGTATGGAGCAGAAGATTTTGCTTTCCATATCTCAACGAACTTGGAACCTGCTTACCATTTTTCCCAGCTTTCACATCCTCTCCTAAAGGCTTCAGGCTATGGAAGCATTGTCTTCATGTCCTCTGTTGCAGGGGTTGTATCCATGAGCGGGGGATCAATTTATGGTCTAACCAAAGGTAAGAGTTACTAATCAACAAGCATTTTATTTTTCTTTGTTTTTACTGACTCTTAAATCCTAATACATGATCATTTACAGGAGCTTTAAATCAGCTAGCTAAAAATTTGGCATGTGAATGGGCAAAAGACGGTATAAGAGCCAACGCTGTTGCACCTAATATCATCAAGACTCCTCAAGCTCAACCTGTAATGAAAAAAAAAAGAAGAAATATTAAATTCTCTTTTCTTATTTGTGAAAGACAAGTTCGATTCCTCTAATTATCTCTCACTTTTTTTGTTTATTAAAGTTTCTTGATGACGTCGGTTTCAAGAATGGATTGTTCGGTAGAACTCCACTTGGTCGAGCTGGAGAGCCGAATGAAGTTGCATCACTAGTAGTCTTCTTGTGTCTGCCTGCAGCTTCGTATATAACAGGTCAAACCATTTGTGTTGATGGAGGCCTCACAGTTAACGGCTTCTCCTATCAACCACATGCTTGAAAATGGTTGTTATGTTTGTCCCTGTATTAATTTCATTCGAATAAAAACTCACGCTCTGAGTATGCTCTTAGGTGTTGATTATTTGTAATTTTTTTAAAAAAATTTCTTTTTGAAACTATTTTATTACCTAATCAAAAACTGGAAAAAATAGAATTCCTAAAGTTTAAAAAAATTAATTTTATGAAATAATTGTTTAAATGTAAAAAAAAATTGGGGTTCACTAGTTTTTTTTGGATGAACTTGTTATTTAGACTGTGATAGGTGAAACATCAAATACATAGGATATATCATTGTATTCTTGACATTTATTTGATAAGATAATGCAGCCTGATATATCTCTCTCCATAAACTCGACCCACAGAGCATTCAGGGAGAAGAGACATCCAATGTTTAATATCAAACATGATTAGAAAGGTCAGTATTCTGTTCGGAATAGTTTATGATCCTTGTCAGTTCACTATTATCTCCTTCAGACCAAACATTTATCCACCTTATTATCCAAGTCTATTTAAGAGCTATGTCCAACCAAATTCCCGTCTCTTCTCGTCCATGATGAAAGCTGTTATCGAAGTTGCATGCTCATTTTCTCACACCTGCTCGGTTTATTAGGAACACAATAATTATTATCCTCAACCGGTTGTACATTCGTCCTAACAAAACATAAACTCATTTCGAGATTTCCATACAATCCAAAATGGTAATTGACGCATTTGTTCCTTTTCTGCTAAAGAATCCACCCACGTAAACATAGTCAATATATTATATTCCAAATCATTATAATTAAACTGACGCAAAAGGGCTATTCGCCAAACATCAAAAGCATATGGGCATAAACATAGTTTGGGTCAGTTTTAATGCATTTCGAACAGTCATGAAGATATCAGTAAACCACTTTCAACAAAAACTGTTGAATCTTGGGGAGTTTTTTTAGTTTTCATACTCTTCTTTAGACTAAACTGATCCTCCGGCTGAATGATTGAATCATCCTCATTGAAGGTATGGGTTGAAAGCCAATACCTAGATTTCAATGTTTTTTTCTTCTTCTTCGAAACATGTATTATATATTAAATACCATATTTCTTCAACAAAAGGCCAGATGTATGAATCCACTATTCACACGATTATATCTTAAGTCTTAACTGTTTAATCTTCCGTGTTTCGCTAGTTTTATAATAGTTGACTTGACGATAATTATATCTATATTTTTGTAGAGATTTTTATATATTAATGGCAGCTCCTTATTTTGTCACGATTAATGGCAGCTCTTTCATCTTTATTTCCTGCTTCTTCATTCTCCCTTTACGTTCACATATATTTCCCATTAAAATCTATAAACTTTATTAAAATTTAATAAGAAAAATCTCAACATCCGAGGAAGAACACAAATATTTGTATGATTGTTTGCTTTCATACTCTATTATATGGATTTGCACTAATAATTAGTTTACGCAATCAAGTACTAAACATATGAAATAATATTTCAAATATTTAAAATAAAATACTTCATCCGTTACAATTTAATTGTCATTTGAGTTATTCTTGTGTTCACCCCATAGAATGAATCTTTAGATTCACCAACTAATATGATAGTGTTATTTCCTATTTGATATTTAAAAAAAAAAATCCTGTAAAGTTATATTATGTTTTTAAAATAAAAATACAAAAAATAAATAAAAGAATATTTAGAAAAAAAAAATTCTTAAAAAAATATTTTAACACTAAACCCTAATCCTAAACCCTAAACCCTTGGGTAAATCATAAACCCTTTGGAAAAATCTTAAACATTAAATCAAAAAATTCATACTACCCAATTATATTGCTTTTTATTTATTTTCTCTTTTATTTTAAAAACATAATATAACGTAACAATATTTTATTTTCATTTAAAATATATATTAAAATATTTTTTTTTAATTTCTTATTTAAATTATGACTGTTTTTTATTTTTTATTTTTATTTTTAAAAACATAATATAATGTTAAAATATTTTTTTAAGAATTGTTTTTGTTTTTTGTAAATATTATTATTATTATTTTATTTGTTTTTTTCTATTTGATTTTAAAAACTAATATAATTTAACAAGATTTTTTTTTCTTTTTAAAAAAATATCGAATATGAAATAACACCATCTTATTAGTTGGTGACCTAGGGGATGAATCCAAGAATAAATCTTGTCATTTTGAGTTTTTGCACACATATTAAGAAAACATTTAATTTTGCATGTTCTTTAGATAAAAATAATTTTACCTATACATCTAACCACATTTCAACTAAAGAAAAAATAAATTATCATATAAGGTTAAAAAATTTTACATTGAAATTATAAAACAACGTTTATTTTGAAACGAAAATTTATTCTACAACGACATATAAACTAAAACGGAGGGAATATATTTTTTTAAAAAGATAACTACTTTGTAGTTTTATTAATTTTGTAAAAATATTATTTTATTATTTTTAGGTAAAACTTAAAAATAAAAACCAAAATCTGAAATAGTTTTTTTTCTAAAGGTAATTTTTCAGCAAAATTAAAATGATTTTTTAATAATGAAAACTAAAGAAAAAACAAATAAAAGCTAAAATGTTCTTTTAAAAATGAAAACTAAAGCAAAAACAAATGTTCTTAAAGTCTATATTTTCAAATGTTGGAATTTTTTGACTTTGAGATTGATAAGACATTTATTCAAAGATTTAAGATTTCTTTTTTTCAAATACCTTGTTATGCAAAATCACATTTCCCATTGCATTTATAGAAATGTTCGATAAATTAATAAATTCTTCTTGTTTCAAATTTAATAAAATAATATATTTTTAGAAATTTCTATGTAAATATATGATACTATGAAATTATAAATTAATAACTTCTATATTATACATTTTATATAGAACAAATAAAAATTTATAGTGCTAATTTTATATTTATAATAAAATTATCTTTATATTTTCTGAATACTTAATATATTTTAATGAAATTTAGCAAAATTCTATCTAAAATCATATTTATATTCTATGAAATCCATTTATACAATAAATAATATAATAGTTCTAACATGAGTAATGAATTTCAAAAAGTTAACTAATTAATATATATACAATAAAATTAAATATTTTTATTGAAAAAATACATTTTCAAAAGATATTTTTTGTAAATTAATAAACTAATAAAATATGTGTGTCCTAAGAACATCCTTATCAGTAGATTGTTAAAATGAAGTTCTTGTCTGATAAAATATTAGTATTATAGTATAATTTATGTTTTTAATTAAAAATTTAATTTCTTTTGAATGTATAAGCAAACAAGAAATTGACACATGTTTTTTACTGTGTTTGAACCGATTCTCAGGGAGTGTAGTTTAAGAAATTTTCTTTACTTCTTTTTACAGTTTTTTTTTTCTGTTTTTGTTTTTTTCTAAGTTAGTGAGATACCCACTAAAACTTACCATTGGATATGTTCTAAAATTATTACCTTATAGAATTTCTGTTGTATTCGGGGATGGATCTACAATACAACGAACGGGACACGTTTCCCTATTACTTTAAAAATATTCTTTGTTAAGACTATGATTAATTCGGGTTTTTAAAGTGGAGTTCTTAGCGGAATTTAAGAAATTATTTCTTAATTTTTAATTAAAAACACTAAGAACCAGTCTTAAAGTTCTTATTTCTTGTTTTTGGCGATTTTAGTTAAAAGTTAAGAAACAGTTTCTTAACTTCTGCTAAGAACTTCATCTTAAAATCCCAGATTAATCATATTCTAATGTCTAGGCCTTACCGAGGTCTAAAACAACACGTTTCTTTTTCCTTTTTTTTCTTGTTTTACTTCTTGTGCAATTAATGTTTTGTTTGACAAATCCGCTTTTTTTTTTTTAACACTGGATAGTAACAATAGTTCAAGTGAACAATTACATAGACTAATAACGAAAAGAAAGATGTCAGTAGACACCGTCATAAAGATATAAGATAATAGAAGCAATAATTAACCACTTCCTTACTTATTTAGCCTCCAATACGAGTAAGTGATGCAGCCATGATGGGGAATGCCGAGCGATATACGACTGATGGCGCTTATCCCGAGTGACACTTAGAGCAATGGCCGCTGCAGCGTCATTACGTTCGGGAAGAGTATGATCCAAACTCCATGAAACAATACTCGACAGAAGCCATATGATGCTGTGACGGATGTGGCTGAGGCTGGGTTGTGCAGTAGGATTTGTCATCGCTTCATTAGGACAAATCCGCTTTTAAAATATATTTCTTTACGGCTGTTATTATGAGATTTTTCTTATCTTTTATTTTGTTGTTAATGTTATTACTTTTTCTTGTTAGTATATGTTCTTTATTTGTTTTTATTTTCTTTTTTTTTATAATCGTGGAAATTTCAATAGTTTCTATATCCAAAGATTAATCCTATTAGATTCATAAAAATCTGAGTTTTTTTTATCATTTAAAACATCTATGAATGGTTAATGCTACTCAACCCTGACGAAAATTCTAACTGAAATTTCTTTACCACTAGACTAAGAGAACTGGTTTTCTTTATTTGTTTTTTATTTATTTTTCTATTGTAATTTTTGATAATAGTAAAAATCCCAAAAATAATTCTAAACCCAAAAATTAATCCTACAGATTCATTGAAATCTGAGTTTTTTTTACCATTTAAAACATCCATAGATGGTTAATGCTAATCAAAACCAAAACAGAAATCCAACTGAAGCTTCCTTATAACTAAACATTATAATAGATTTTGAAGATTTTAGTTCATTCTTTAATAGTAGACACAAGCAATTGTTAACAAATAAATAAAACTAACTAATCCATTCAGTTTGATATTATAGAGTTCAAGTCCTCATGATATGATAGACTATAAACAATTTATGATATATACTGTTATATATGTGTAGACATGAAGACTACATTTTATATATTTGCAAACTTAATTTAATTGTAACTGTATGTTATTGTGATTAAAAACATTTTTAAAAATGAAAAAAAAAATCGTTTACAAAATTTATACAAGGTTAAAAAAAAAAAAAAATTCCACTTTTATCTAAATGTTAATGAGTAGTAATTTATAATATTAAATTGTTAAATATATTATTATTTGTTTTATATTAATTAATTTAATATTATTTAATATATATTAATTATGTGCTCCCGT